TTTACTTTGTACGGTTTCCACTGAGCGGCACGTTCTTCCGGATTAATCCAAAGTGAGAGCACTCATTGCACCCGATGCAAGCTAAGGTTGGAACCGACCCAATAGCCAGGATCGCAAAGCTCCTCAATCGGCGCTTTGCGGGCCGTTCTTTCTACGTGGTTTTCTTTGATGGCAGCCAGCGAATGCTTGCATTGAACAAAAGCAGACACGTTACATGCGATACATATATGGGACTGGGGATGACGGGCGAGTTCATATGTACATATGTACATATATATATATATATACATACATATATGATGCAAGTCCATCTATGTATATATATATATATGTATACATATACATATATATATATGTATATATATATATTTCCCTTGTATGGTACCTTAGCCTGTGCAGTTCTGCACGGGCACTCTGCGTTTCTTGCCTTCAAAGTCCTCCTGCCCGGGTCGCGGCTGCCACTAGCATGGCCACCAACCCACCCTTTGTTTTGGTCGTTGCTTGTGAAGGACAGCTGCTCAAACAAGAAGAATCAAACAAAGGGCACCACGGGAGATCTGGGGTGCTTTCTTCAAAAACCGGTCACGTCCAACTCGCGTCTCCTTGGAGACCTCCTTTCCTGAGAGGCTCGAGATAAAGTGGAAATCCTTGCTCGGCGGCTGCAGCCTGGGGCACGGTGTCATGTGGTCGGTTGAAAGCCGGCCCCCAAAGAGACCCTTTTGGGCCACTTTCGTTTGTTGGCTGATGCTTCGAATGACGTTGACCCTTTTTGGGTCCGGTTGGTGTTTCAGTTTAAGCAAGGGCCGCAACCAGGCTCGCTTGGATCCCGTTGAGAGTGCTCTCAGTCTTGGCAGCTTGTGTGCATTGTCAGCCCATACGCTCCAAGGCCCAATCAGAAATGGAGGGCAAGGTTTGCCTCGCGCTCGACAGGAGGGCTCACCCCCGAATTCAAACAGGCAGACACTGACACACTCTAGAATCATGCCAATTCTGGGTCAATGACGCACCCCTGAACTCGCAGCAAGAAGGCAAAGTGAGGTGAGCCAAACACTTTGAGTTGAGCCAACCTTTGATGCCGCACTTCAAATCAAGTTGAACTGCTGTGATCAAATCAAGTGGAATTGCTGTGACAACAGCGCCTGATTCAGGTACACGTCTCAATGAAGGGTGAGACTGCGTGCAATCTGTCCCCATTCAATGTATTATTGTATGGTTTTTGTGTATACCGGGGCTTGCTTGTTGAGGTGTTCAAAATCAAGAAACATTCGGTGTGTCAATCAGGGGAACGAGCAAATGCACCGCTGCTGCGGAGCAAACAGTTTGTTGCACGACTATTGAAACACGCATCAATATCCACCAGTGACTTGGAATATGCCCTTGATTTAGACCTATGAAAAAGACCTCAGTCTCATGATTGGTTCGGTTGCAGAAAGAAGTATATGTCCTGCAACTATCGAAACCATGAGAGCTGGGTGGCTCTCTACGAAACACTGCCCGAAATCAAAGGTTCCTTCCTCATGGGTTGGCTCCATTTGACCCCCGATCAGGCCGTTACTTGCCGGGATCTGATGCCATGTGCCGGATCACTCCAACATGAGGGCGTGCTACAACAAAGCGTCCACAAAACATGCGAGTCGTGCGTCTCCTTGAGAGGGGTGTTCCATGTTTAGCCCGGTCTTTGAAAAGCGCCTCAGTGCAGATGAGTCACAGCCAAAAGCGTCTATATGGCCATGGGTCAAAAAACATCCCGTACCCCCAGTGAACATCCCAATCCCCACTAAAATAGACTAAAATGGGTGGTGCACCCCCAAAATGGTACCATTGGTCTTGACCCACAGCCATATAGCCAAGATCATGTCAAGAGTGAAAGGGGCGGAAAGCTGCAGCAATTTGGGCGCTGTCCGTTCTTGCCTTTGTCTACCCTGGCTGCTCAAATGGGGAAGGTGATGGAAACCTTTGTCCTCTGAAAATCAGGACTGGTGAGTGAACTAGATTGAGTAAATCACGGACGAAACAACATCGGGGGCTCCATGTAATAAGGTCAACGAGCAAAATGCAAGCCACAAACTGCAACAGCCATTTGACCAAGCCCCCCAGGACATGGATGCCGACTAAGGACTCTTACAAATGAAATGCTCGCTTTGGGACTTCTGACAACCCTAAGCTGGTTGCCTGTCCGAAAGCGGGGAAGCGAGTTTCAGAAGCATTGGACTCTGGCAAACAAGCCACAAAGCGCAAAAACAGCTGGCTTAACCGCAGGAGTTGCTTCCTTTCATTGCTTGTTCCCTTTCCGGATTAGGACACTATCCAGGCGCGCAGGTCTGACCATCGCATCTTGGATGCTCAACCATGTCTTGGATGCTGAATAATGTGAGAGCTTCCATTGTGAGAATCCTTCGAGTAGACATCCAAGTTCTATTTCTCCACTGAAGTGTCCAACCCACTTTAAGCATGCAAACGATTATAAGCTAGAGCAACTGGGGTCGCTCCCCTAGTGGTTCTATCCTACCTGCCTGAGGTAGGCCCACATCAAGACTCCGGCTCTGCCGGGCCGCTGGCACTTCTGCGCAGCCTCCCGCAGCTCCGGCAGGATGGGGGCCATCAAAGGCGAGTGCATGGCGTGGGGGATGCTCAACCTCGAGGTCCGAAGGGAACCTCCCCCCGGTTTAAAGGCTCGGCCGCCAATGTTTGTTGGAGTTGGAGTCGGGGATCCTTTAGAAAAAGTGGGTGTAAGAGGAAAACCGAAAGGGGCTGCCCGCGTGCTTCTTCGGAGTTGGTTCCTTTTGGGTAGTTGGACACAACGACCATTTTGGGAATTTCGGCCCATGAGACACGCCCATGTTTCCCCTTTAAACATCACTCCAGGCATCACTCCACGAGGCCACTCACTTCAAGATTAGCAACGAAAAGGTGACGTTTCTACTACCAAAAAAAAAGGACAAAGAGATACCCTGCCAGCCGGGGGTCCATGATTTGAGGGCAGGGGCTGGTTGCCTGTAAGTGAGGGCAGTCCCAAAACGGAAATTCCCGCCACGCGCTCAACCCCGGCCTTGCCCCATGTCCCAAGTACCTGAAGTGTAACAGCGTAGCATTTCTCTTTCAGGGGGCCGTCCCTGAATTTTCCCCACACAAAGGGCACCAACCCTGTGTCCCAAGCTGGTGCCAAGTTGCACTTTGCTTTGTGCGCCCACGTTGTCGCAAACAAGCCTCAGCGAGGCCGTCCAGTCGATCGTCTACTGAGCACCCGGGAAGAATCAAAATAAATAGCAGGTGCTAATTGCGGCGTGGCGCAGTGCAGATGAGCGGCAAGCTCAACGTCGGATCGCCAAATTCACAGCTTCCATTGGCTCAGAGCCAAGTACGTCAAATCAAAAAGCTTCAACTGTCAGTGCAAAATGGCGAACGACGGGAACAAACATGGGTTTTGCGGGTCGGCAAACAGGAACCACTCGCTCGAAACTTGGATGTTCCTTGCCGGCGCCAGGGGCTATGAAATTTCGAACCCAAGTTACCCCGAGTGCTTTTCTTACCATGGTGACATCGCTTTGACGTGGTCAAGACGCAAAGAAAACCCCCAAACCCCGTGTTCGGTGGTGCCGGGCGGCTTCACCGCGGCCTTGTGGCCCGACACAACGGTCTGGGCAGGCCCATTCAAGGCCTGGGCGTTTCAAGGGTAACAACGCGGCCCCGCTTTGGCATGGGGAAAGGGCAGCCAAGCAATGTTAACCAAACAGGAAAGGACGCACTTTGGAAGGAATGTTGAAACACTCAAACGCGACGCCGGGGATGACTGGCCTTACATCCTCCGCTGTCAGTGCCAGGGTCCTCAAAAGTCCATCCCCGTGCTCGGTGGAAGCTGTTGGCAATTGGACCCAGTTTTGGTAGCGCACTGGGATCGCCAGTTGAGTCCCTTTGTCCCCTGCGCGGGGGGCCGGAGGGGGGGGGGGGGAGGGGGGAAATTGTGCGCAGAACAGCAGCCGCAACTTGGGTCCTTGAGGCAGGGGGGAATATAGATGGGAATCCAGAAAAGCACGATGGGGCAAAAGACTGCTTGGAATCAACTCATAGATTAGCCGCAATTAGCGGCAATTAGGGGAAGCGGATTCACCCCGCACAGTTTTCACATCTCGCAGAAAGCCAACAGAAACAACACAAAAATGAACAAAAAAAGCAAACGCAAAACAAAACAGCTGCACAACGGGACAGCTTCCCTGAAAAAATGGCTTCCAACAAACAAACTCACCGCTTTGCCACAAAATCAATAGTTGAAACCCTTGAAGGTGGGAACGAACCGGAAGGGGATTCCCTTAAAGCAAACCAAAGGGTTTTTTTTCCCTCTTGGGTGAGCCCTTTTCTCATTCCCTGGCTCTTGGACCTGTCGCCTGTCACATGTGGACCGATCTTGATCGGGTCCCGGGGAGTTGCACCCTCGAGTTCTGAACCAGACCTACAACATATAACCATGCACGTAGAATCGCAATGGGTGTTGCGGGGGAGCTCAAGCGTCGCAAGTGAGCAGCAAGGTGTGCCGTGAAATCCACACTCGAAGAATCACTTGTGGGGTGGGTCCGGGACCCACTCAAAGTATGAACTTTCATCGCTTGGTGGACATTAAATCCCCCAACAATGAGGTCCACCCTTTAGGGTCCACATCAACAAGTCATCCCACCCAAATGGCCCCCAGGAAGTCGCGACTTCTTTGAGGACACGGCAGCAATGACCACCACCTGGCCCTTCGCCAAGTCTTTCTTCACCTCGTCCATTGCCTTGCGGTTCCCGAGCTAAGCCAATTGAAAGGCAGAGAAACCGCTGGTGACACAAGCAAATTCCGACTCCCGGGGTTCTAAAATCCCCAGAGGATCATGAGAGATGCATCTCCATTGAAGAATGGTTGTGCCACCCTTTTTTGGACCTGCCAAGTTTACAGTACTGGCCAGAAAAGTTCTAAAACGTTTTGGGACTTGACAAAAATCTTAAGACTGCAACAAAAGTTTGAGGTCTGCCAACTCAGGCAAGTAAACATCAACTCATACTGGTTTCGCAGTGGTTCCAAAGACCCTCGCAGGGTACAAAAATAAAATAAAATTGATACCTAGGTTGAACCAAAGAATGCCAAACCAAGTAAACCAATGGTGATACTTGGGGGTTCTCCTTCTCATTTAGCTCGTCGCCGGCCTTCTGCACCTGCTCCTTGGTGGCGAAGATGGATGCCATGCTGCCCACGCCTGCGGGGAATCGTTTGCATCTCCCGTCTGCATGAAAGGCGCTAGTATAGGGGGACATCTCCAAAACCTTCTTTCAGGAACCCGTCAATCCATGGCATCTGGGGAACCCCCAGAATAGTGGCTTTCACGTTAGTTTCGCAGGGCACCCTCAAAAATGTGTCTAGCGCAGGTAGGCACAATGCCGGGGCTTTGGTCTGCCCCTTTTGGTGAATTGCGGTGGGACTGAAGTTGATCGCAAGGGCAAGGCTAGTCAAAAGGACCCAAATGGGCTGGGGGAAGAGCCAAGCGGAGCAGTTTGTCGAGCGGAGACGATGCTCAATCAAGTCCTTTGTATTGCACACTTCTCTAGCAGGGGGGACACAAGAGCAAACACTGTGGATGGACGAAATCCTGCACCACCCAAGAAACCCTAGAATCATGATGCTCCTGTAAATACCAACAAAATATGGTTTCCCATTGCTTCAAAGTGGTGCAGGTGTTCGTCCATCCACAGTATCAGCTTCATCCACAAAGTTCGTTAGAGTCCCCTTCGTTAGTGGATGAATCTCTCGAAGCAGCCGGAAGGCTGGGTGCCTGCAATGCTTCCTAGAACCTTTACCAGGGGATACACATCCTCTCCAAGGGTCAGGGCCTTGACATAGTCTTCGGAGCAAGGTCGGCGAGGAGTTGTTAGGCCACGAGGTTGGAAAATATAGTTTGTCGAAGGCTGCACCCCCCCAAAACAAATGTTTCGATTCCCTTTTCAACAACCCAGAAGGGTACACTCAAAAAAGACATACCCATCTCCAACATAGCAGGTGTTGCAAAAGGGGCCCAGCCGCAAGTCGTCATACTGCAAGGACAGCCGCGCATGCTTGAGTCGTTCGAGTCGCTTTGCTCCCTAAGCATCGCAAGTTGGCAAAAGGATTCTCCCAAGGCTTGCCCCTTTTGATCCTTTCTCGTCGCAATGGCAGGGGACCTCAGCTGGACAGCACTGGAGTGGCAGGAAAATCTCCCCAAGCTCGGGCCACAGCAAGCAGACAAGTCTTGGTTTGCATTTCAAAGGCCGCAAGACACAATGCCCCTCGACCCCTTGCGTTGACCTCCCCAACGAGCGATGCGAATCCCCCGCAAAATTGGACACCCATCAAAATCGAGAGCTTGATCCTCAACTTTGAGCCACACCCTGGTGCCCTGGAAGCCGAAAGGGAAGCCACTGAGTTCCATTACCAAAACTTTCGGTCCCAACGGTCGCCGGGGAGCCTACGTCGCACTTCTGGTCGATCAGCTCGCCCCGCCTGGTGGGAACCGATGATGTCAGACTTGCTTTTTTAATCTGCTCCGGGCAAATTGCTACAACTCCCAAACTGGAAAAAAGAGTTAAGGACCTTGGTCACGTGCTCTTATGCTCTGTCCATTCTGTGGATTCTTCATCTGCTCCGTGTATGACAAATCATTCTCGAGTCATTCTTTTCAGCGTGCGTGCAGGGTCTCAGCAATGGCTTCTCCAAATGTGATTGCTATTCCGTCAGGCCCCTTTTCATGCAACCACCAAACAAAGCGAAAAACAAGACATGTCCGGATCAACACACATCCCTTAAAATCCAAAGGGGTAGAGGTGGATTCAAAACAAAACTAGAAGATGGAGGTGCTGCTTGCTAGTGAGTCTGCTTCCAGTCTTTCCTGAAAAACTATGCGCAATGCTGTGAGGAAAAAAACCCTCAGCAAAAATGTCGTTCTCCCAGCCTTTGGGACGCCTCGAGTCAGAGCGATCCCGCCTTGCTACGAGGCGCAAGCCATCCTCCAGAGACATGGCCCCTGCCGCCACCGCGGCCGTATACTCCCCGACCTGAGGCGTGGCGGTGGCAAAGCCAAAGACCGAGGAGTGGTGGACAAATTGACAGCGCCAACGAAAAATGAAACGCTTTTGCAGGGCGGTTCGTCTTTTTGCTGCACCCTCCCACCAATTAACATGGAACCTGACAGGGGGTTAAAGACCATGCTGCTTTTTAGTCTTAAAGGCACCCCCTGTCAGGTGCCATGTTAATTCGTGGGAGGGTATCTATTTTTGAGGTGTGTTAAAGGAGCACCAAAAAGAAAACCACTGCAAAAAGACACACACACACACACCCCTTTTAGGGAATTTAGGAAGGGTTGGCCAAGGGAGTTTAGGGAGTTTAAGCAACATCCAGGCTCTCAAAAGCACAGCAACTGCCCCAAAGCAATTCAAGAGGCTCCCTCGACTCTTAGAATCCGCCAAAAAAAAAAAAACGAGGTTCACTTTGAGATCACCTGTGTCCCTTCTCCGAAAAAGAAGAAAATGGACATGCCCCACCGCCATAAGCCTCCGACTTGGATTTTCAACCACGTTGTAAGTAGGTTATGATATTGGTTGTAACGGGACTAGCCCCTTATACCCTACTTGCACCTGCCCAACCAAACGTCGTCCAAACGTGCAGCGAGATCCTTCCGAGGAGCGGAGTGCCCCAGCAGCGCGAAGGGCCGCAGGCCTCGGGCCTTCCACGTCTCGCTGAGGGCGTACTCCACCGCGAAGATGGCCAGCTGCGACAGAGACGTGGACCTCAGATCCGCGATGCGCCGATCCAAGTCGCGCCAGAGGGCGCGACGTGCTAATGGAGCCCGCGAGGGGCACGTGGCTCGGAGAAACCATTGAAAGATGGTCCCTCATTTCGAGACCAAAATTACATTGACGGAAAGGCTCGGCCTATCAATTCTCAGAACTGAAAGCTGGTTCCAAAAAGCTGGCCCTTTCCACCCCATTTAGCTGCAACACAACCGTTTTTTGTTTCATTGCGGGTTCATTGTACACCGGTACCAGTCCCTAGCAAGTTCCCAGTTGTTGGCTCTGTTAGGCTCGCGGGTCATAAAATGGACGCGGAAGGAACCCCCGGAACCTCCCATCGAATCCCAGCGGCTGATCGTACCTGTGCGCAGCCTCCGGGCCATCTGCGAAAAGCACATCCCGGAGGTCCTGCGTCAAACCATTTGGCCCACGACCATTTGGGTGTGGCTCAACATTAAAGAGCTAGGGGTAGGTGGGTTTTGGTCTTTGTTTCCATTGACCAAACCGCCATGTTGGGCTACAACTTTTGAGCCACAGCCATTTCCTTAGAGAACTGGATCCAACACTTCTCCCATCCAAATATTTCCCGCGTGGGGCATCTGCCTGCTGAAAGGCTCCCTCGAGAAATCTGCAGCCCAGCTCGGCTCCGTCCCCAAGTGAATTCAACAGACCCTGAACTGGAGAGGAGGGTGCATCACTTGAGCGGGAAGTCTTCCCTTTTGGAGGAAACGCCGAATCTGTTTGGGTCATTCCAGTCGACATTGTTTGGTGCCCCTTGGGCACATGACCAATGTAGAGAGCCGCTAGTCATCGGTTGGCGGCATTGTGACCAGCGAAACTAGATGTTTCGTAGGCTGGGGTAACCCTGCAAGAAAACCAAAAGTGACGCCTGGCGAAGCGTGGTCGTTTTTGGCACTTGCTTCGTGCGGGTAACGGAAAGAAAGCCCACGATAGTGCGATTCCAGAGGAGGATATTCTGAGGATGTTACCTACTCTAAAATCAACCGGAAGCGTTTACAGGTGCCAAACAGCAAACTCTTGCCACTCGTGCCCAGGTCATCCCTCTCTGGCCGGTCCCCCGTGGGTTCCAAGAGCGGGTGCCCCTCGAGGATCTCTGCGCACCGGTCCAGCGCTACACGGAAGGCTTCCTGTCTCGAGTCACGAGTCCGTCTCACGAGCCCCAGACCTACATGGGAAAAGTGGGTCTCGTCCGGAAAAAATGGCCAGCTTCTCGTCCTGACAAGAGACCGGTATTGGATGTGTCCTTTTTGGAGGTACCCCTGTCTTTGGGCTTGGTTTGAAGGGAACCAAAAGAAAGCCGCCAGTTTGGGAATCCCCTGTTTCCAGGGCATTTTAGTCTCCTTGTTTGCTTCCCCTTTCGGCTTGTGGATTCCTTTTGGTGTCAAGTTTCGTACTTGTTTGGTTTTCATGTCGATTTTGGTGCTTGGCGTGCTTTCCTTCTGTTTTCTGGCTTGTTGGCTTCGTCTTCTGCAGTATGGCCACGTGCGCTTCTGGGGCTGCTTTGTACATCAGAAGAAGCAATCAGTTTTGCAACCCTCCGTACGGTAATTTGGAGAGTGCCACGCCATGCCCTCTACAGTACGTCATCGCGAATATTCACTGTGGAATATGCGGGCCACGCTGCGGGCAGCGCCTTTATGTTTTAGGGGAACAAGCCTTCGGCCACAGTCCAATTCAGGGCTGGCTGAGATCACAGAAGGTGTCCGAAGCCGAGTTTCGTGCCACGGCTTCCAGCGTTCAAAAGCGACCCTCTGATGTCCCTCCTCGCACAAGAGTTCCAGCGCTCCCTATGTTTTCTCATTCAACATCACCCAAAACGAAACCCTGCCAAGCAACTGTATAGTCTAAAGGGGCCCCTGCCACCCCTGCCTGCCCCAAGAAACCAGCTAGGTGCCGCCAAAATGCATCGCACTTGTAGAGCTTCTTGCCCATCTCTGGCAGCTGGCTCCCCTGTCCTCGTGGAATCGTACGGAAAATGAGCGGCGATCGGAAGGACGCATCCAAAACGAACCCTTGTGTTACAAACAATTTGTCGCCGGCGATTTGCTGCCATTGCGAATGGAATCTTGCTCAACCTGGGTGAGCTTGATTTACCTACAGGTGAGCTCGTTATACATTGCCAAACAATGGCACTCTGCCCACACCCCTCTTGGAATATCGGCCAGGAATCTGGTGAAACTAAAAAGTGGATTCCTTGTACGCACATGGTGGGTGACCTGTTGGTGCATTGATTGGACTTAAGCACAAACTTTCAGGCAATCGCAGCCGATAAGTGACGAATCGGGCGAAAGGTGGTCGGCCTTTGCCACCTTTGGTTAGATAGTATCAGAAGGAAGCCGGGCCGTCGCCAGTTGGAAGAAATGATGATCACTTGCAGAGATCGCTGACATTTCATTGAGGAAGCCCCCCTGTCGCTCCACACATATGTTCAAACATGGTTTCATGTCAGTCTTCATGCCGACTTTTGAGCCTTGCACATATGAAATTGTGATCCGGCAAAAAGAACGAGCGCAACCAGCATCACCCAATGAAGCTTGCCCCGGTATTCAAGACCTAAAGTAGTTCAGAAAGGATCTCTTGAGGGCTTGAAAATGGGAATAAGCAGACAATGGGTGGTCCTGGAACATATGACATGAACAAATGTGTTATATACCCAAATCTCCCAGCTGACCAGAACCTCGATCAGAAGCCAGAAGGCACCAGAATCCAGCCAATGATGCACTGTGTGTCAGAGAAAATTGGTTTCGGACAGGGAAGCATGTGGGTCAGAGGAGGTCTCCTCGAGGCAAGAGTGGCACTTCCATGCTAAGGACCCTATCTCGAAAATGAAAAAACAACTCAGTTGGGTCTCTGTGCGTTTCTGAGGGCGCCGCTTTTGTTAGGTAGTGTCAAGGGAAACCAATGGAAAAACTCCCAATCTTTCTGGGCTCTCCATTCTCACACGTAACCATTTCAAGACCTCATACTAAGTGAGTCGATTGACCCACCGTGGCTTCCGACCAGGTGGGTTTAAGTGACAAGCAACCTCGCAGAAGAGAGAGGTGGTGAAAAGTAGATGCCCCTTACCACTCTGGTTGATTCCCAATGTCACTGGATTTCGGGGACAACCGCGGCAAAACCGGAAGGCCTGTGAAGAGGAAGGCCACCTTGCTCGGCCGCTGCTCCTCCTCCGCCTGCGAGACCGTGCCAAGCCAAGCCTGGACCTGGGGGTTGGTGGGGGTTGGTGGGGGGGGGTGTTGCGACACCCCCCCCCCAGATTGAGACAGCCCACACGGCGCCAAGCTCGGCTTGCAACAAAATCAAAATCAACGGTCCAGCCAAGCATCTCCGTCATTTTGATTGCAGCGGTTTGGTCGCATGTTGGCAGCGTACCAACCACAGACCTGCAGCCTCTCAAGTCTTCCCCGAGTGCGCCTGTTGGCGCGAAGACATTAGCAGCCTCAGACGGCAGTACATCCAGTAACCATGCGATGGCTGTGTCTTGTTTCAGCCAACCACGTCAAAGGGTTCCCTGACTTAAGATACACTCAGACTCAGCTGCGCTTTCCCCGATCATGCCATTGGGCAAGCAGCCGACATGTGGCGATTCAGGGAGTGGGGGAGGGGGGATTGCGGAGGCTCATGAATATCGACTGTTGAAGAACTTTTGTACATAGCAAAACATTGCGAGTATATGCTAAGCTCGCCATCAGCAAGCGCATCAACCATCCCTTGTGATTTCCTGTGAGGGCATTCCAAACGACTCATTGCCCAAGCCCCCTTCGAAAGATTCCTTGACCAAATCCACGGGTCCGGTTGAACTGGCCTAGTGGACAGGCCCTGCCTGACCCTGTCGAAGACTGCTTTGGCCGAAAATGGGGGCCAAGCGGACTTCCCGAACCAAACTCTCCGAGGGACGCATGGGTGTTGGTGCCGCCGAATCCGAAGGAAGACACTCCCATGGCGGGAGCCTGTGCGAGACTGGGGGAGAAACTGGGTGGATACAGGTGTGGCTCAATTTTTCCGAGCCAGGGTTACGCAAGGTTTAGTCTTGGGTTTTCCAGTGCCATTGTGCCATTTTTGTACATGTTTTGAGCCGCAGCATATGTGTTGAAACTAGGGGGAAACACGCGGTCCCTTTTGAAATTCCTTTTAACTTAAACTAATCTAAGATGGGCATAATCCAAAAGACACACTTTCGCACAAATATCCCCAGAGGTTACCAGGACCCAAATGAGCGGTTCTTTAAGGAAGCTGGGA